CTCTCCATTCCTGGCCCAGGCCCCGGGTAGCCCTGCGGCCTGCCCTTCCACTCAGCGCTCCAGCTTCCCGTGGTTCCTCGTGGCCACGACCTCCGGTCAGTTTCCCCTCACCTGCGCTAGCCAGAGGGGCTTCTGCCGCCTGAAAGACATGCCCCCCAATGAAGGAGATGGGATAGTCCAGTTGCTACTTGCCAGAAAGACCTGGGGCTCTGCCTGGATCCTTGCAGTGTAGCGGCCTGCTTCCCTTTTGTGGCCCTGGGCTGACGCTGGAAGAGGGATATTAGTAACGAGCTGCTCTGCTTTATTGATCACCTGCTTTTCCCAGCAGACACGAGCATCCCATGGGTTTAGCGGCTCTTTGTCCAGAGTGCCAGAGCGGGTCTCTTCGCTCCTGGCCAGACCCTGTGGATTTAGAGGGAGGCCTGAGCTGGGCCTGTGGCCAGATGCCAGCACTGCCAAGAAGTGAATGTCTGGAAGGCCAAGGGGATCAAGTCTGCAAGGAAAAGACAACTTTCAAAGGGCTGGGAGTGGGCAGTGTTTGCCAGGTAAAACTCTGCCCACCAATTACAATGCGTGTGTTGATTTTTTTTCCCACACCACCAAGCAATTCTCAGACGCCAGCTGGGCATCCTACGATTTAACTCACTTCTATCTACATGAACAGTGATGTTCAACCATTTTCATTGCACGGTACATAAACTAATTACTAAAATGCTGCACACCAAAAATATATATTTTTTGCTGATCTAACAAAAAAAATAGGTATAATTTTGATTAATCTGTGACAGGCAGTTAGACAGACATGAGCAGAGCAAGGACAACGGGCCAGGTACAGAAGGTCATCAGGGTGGAAAGTCCCAGGTGCCTGGACAGTTGTAGGGTGGGACTTCGCTCCCAGGGTGGCCTTTCCTTCCCTAGCATATCCCTGGTCCTGTGGTTTGGACTCCTGACCTTTTCTCCCTAGAGATAACATCTAGGCCTCAGTTGTTTTTCCAGATCCAGGCCCAGAAGAGCAGCAAAACCAGCCACTGACCTCAGGACCAGCTGCATTGAATGATGCCCCGCCCTGGTGCCGACCAAGCAACCAGTGGAGACCACAACCCTGAAAGGACACACCTGGAAAGCTGCTGAATATTATAATAAGGCCTTTCCGTGGGACCTCCCCTAAGATCAAACTGTTAGTGCTCTCCTTCCTGGGCGTGTCTGTCCCCCTCTCCCCCCCTCGCACGTTACCATTAGCTTCCTTAGTCCCAAGCTCCAGAGGCCCTTTCCATAACCTCTATAACTTGTTCCCTAAGCCCATTTCTTCTAGGAATTACTTCTTCCACCTCTGTGATTAATGAAATAAATGTTTCCTTATAATTCGGGTCTTGGCTCTGAATTCTTTCCTAGCCAGAGCCCAGTTCCGAGGTTGCTGAACCCAGGTTTGGTCTGACCCCATGGGCCTAACACCTGGTGACGCTCCCACCATCAACAACACATTCACACTAAGATGGCTATTGTGTTGGCTGTTTTCATTTTTTAAAATCTGATAATCTAAGGGAAAAGGTCAGTGCCCCTGACTAAATAGTCCGGTATTGCATGTTTTAAACATTCTTGCGGCTCACTGGTTGAAAATCGCTGTATACGAAGAAAGGGTCAGATTCTGCAGGCTAAGGGTTCAGTCCTAGAAGACTGCCCACCCCCCATGCCAATCGCAAGTCCAGGTTGTCACCTGTGCTTCTGACCAGCTTGCTGTTGACTGAAACTTCCAAGGATCCCCTCCTTATGTTTGATTAACTTCTAAAGAGGCTCACAGAACTCAGAGAAATATTTTACCTTCTAGATCATCAGTTTATTATACAAGGATATAACTCAGGAACAGCCAGATGGAAGAAATGGGTAGGGCAAGGTATGTGGGAAGGGTCACAAAACTACCGCCTCTCCGAGCTTGGTCCTCTCCACACATCTCCAGGTGTTTACCAACCCAGGAGCTCTGCACACGCTGTCCTGGGCTTTCATGGAGGCTTTGTTAGATAGGCAAGATCCATTAAATGACTGGCAATTGGCGACTGATTCAACCTCCACCCCCTCTCCCCTCCCCCGAGGTCCGGCGTGGGACAGAAAGTTCGAACCCTCTACTCACAAGGTTGGCTCCTCTGGCAGCCAGCCCCTTCCTTAGGTGCATTCCAAAAGTCACCTCATTAACATGACACAGGACGCCTTTACCACTCTCCTCAGGTAGGAAATGCTGAGGGATTTAGGAGCTCGGAGTCAGGAACTAGGACAAACATCAAGTACTTATTTCTTCTTGTAAATCACAACATCACAGCAGGCAACTGACTGCTCGGGCGGGAGGAGACCCAGGTGGGCAGGTGGCTCGGGTCGTGAATCCCGGCTGCTTCCTGGGGCTGGTCCTGGCCTGACCCAGAACCAGCCTCCAAGCGCAGGTGGAGGGTGGGGTTCTGCGGCTAGAGCTGGTTTGAGCTGCAACTCCCAGACCAGAGGCTTGGCCTGGCTGAAACGGTGGGGGGGCAGGAGGCACTCCTGGCCTGGCGTGGAACTGGCAGGAATCTCCACTAGATGGCACTCATGATTTAACTTTTCCTCATATTTTTAATTCTATGTTGATGAAAAATTGTGTTTTTATATTGTTGAAGAGCACAAATAGAACTCTGACTTACAACCCACGCAGGTGATTTATGCATCATCACACTTGGGTTTCGGTCCCATTTTCGAGTTATCAAGTCTTCCCCCCTCTGGATATCGGGTGTGGCAAACACGCGTCCCCACCCGACCTTCCCCAGCTGGAAGGATGAGTCCAGTGGGGATGACTGCGTCCTTCTGCCCTAGTGCTCCCCAAAGGCTGACTGAACCCCTTACTGCCCACACCCGGCCGCTTTCCCCGGGCAGTCCCCCAGCTGCTGCGCCTCCCCAGCCCCACAGCCCAAGGCCTTCAGTCCTGTGCCGAGGGCAAGAGGGGGAGATGGAGTCCTGAGACTGCAAGAACTTGGTGCTTAGAGGACTGCTGTGCTTGACGGGAAGGGGCGCAGGGAGCTTCCATCCCACAGCTGCGTCCCTGGACCCCGGGCGCAGGCGGATGAGGCACTAACGCCTGCGCCAGCTGCCTGAGTTGGAGGGCAGCTTATGCGTGCGGCTTGGAAGTCAGGCTACACGCCTGGGTACAAGCCCTGGACCTCCTACTGCTCTGGCTGTGTGTCCCCGGGCAAGTCTCCTGTCCTTTCTAACCTCCAGTGCCCTTTTTAGTAAAATACGCATATTAGACGGGTGTTTTGAGTACTGTGGGAGGCAAAATAAAGGCCCCACAGAGAGGTCCGCGTCCTAATTCCTGGAACCTGTGAATGTTACCACATGTGGCAAGTGGGTCCTCGTCGTCGCCGGGTCAGGAAATCCTTGTAAGTAGCTCTGACCCAGACAGAGAGTGCAGGGCGGTGATTTTACCTGCCTGGTCCTGGGGCACAGCTCAGCGCCTTTCTGAAGTCCAGGCAGCGGTGCTGACCGCCACTTTCCTCCCCCAGGCTCAGGGCCCGCCCCAGCCCTTCCTCCCGGCGCCCAGCTCCCCGCCCCTAGATGGCAGGGCCCTGCCTACCCACTGCCCTCCTTCATTTCTTCTTTCTTCTCTGCAGAGGCCTTCACTTCAGCTCTGCAGTCAGCCAAGCCTGTCTCCCCTCCCCACCCTGGGATGGCTCTGTTGCCACCTCCGCTGGTACTTGCAGTAGATGAAATGCCCAAGTGGGACACGCCTAAATGAGACCATGCTGCCCGAACCCCCTGCCCCTCAGCCTCAGCTGGTGCCCCTGGGGCTCCTAGGATGGACAGAGCAAGGTGAGCGATGTCTGCCCAGGCTCGTGCTCCCTCGCGGGCTCCCAGCGGGCAGCCTGCTGCTGGCTAGACTGAGCCTGGGATGATCCACGCCTCTTTGGTCACCTTGTCAGAGTGGCTGGGTGCCCGCGCTGCTCTGAAACTGTAAACACACTGCCTCGCAGGCCCAGGGAGGCCCTGGCACAGTCAGCTCCCAGCCACTGCTTCCCAGAGGAACGGCTCACATCGAGGCACACTGCTGGCACTCCAGACCTCCGGGCACACTGTTCCTATCCCTGTGGGTGGCCTCCTCAAGCGCCCGCAGCTCTCCCCGAAGGCCTCTGTCTGTGGGGAGCTTGGCACAGGTGCAGGGGAGGCCAGACATGTGGGCATCAGCCCCTAGGAAGCAGCTCTCAGTTAATGGCTGGGGTATGCCCCTGGCTTACTCATGCGGTCGGCGAGCCCCCTCTGAGGCCTGCTCCCCACCATCCCCACAAGTCCCCACGGGAACTGAGTCCCAGTGCCCAGCAGTAGCCAGCTCGCAGCACACCTCGATGACTCTCCTCCCTTCCTGCCCCTTCTCCATGCTTTTTGGGCGGTGCCTCCAAATAAACTGCTCAGATACGGCTCAGGCTCTGCCTCCCAGGTGGGGAAGTGGGGGGAAGGGGCGTCAGGCTGACATGACACAACCCGACTGCACCGTGGCCCTCTGTGAGCAGACCAGCTCAGACACCTTTCCTTAGCTGAGTAACAACCACATTTCAAACAGGGACCTTCAGAAAATGGTTTTGTGACTGCCAACAGGATAGCAGTTGTCGGGTGAAATTCCTTTCTCCCTCTGGCACCGCAGCTCAGTTTGGGATTCACGGTGAAGCTTATGTAAATATTCTGAACTGGCGCCAGCGACTTGTTTGCTCTGACCCTGATTTGTGGTTTGGACCCCCACCCTAAGGTGCCCCAGTTGATTGGTTTCTTCCCTTGTGTTTACTGTGAAGTTAAAAATCCATCAAAAGCTAATTACCCACATGATTGATTGAATTTTTAAATTTTCCCCCAAATTCGCCATGTCCCCTAGATGTGACCCAAATTTCTGAGTTGTGCTTAGAGACAGCGCTGGAGTTTCATGAAGGAGCTCTGCCCTTCCCAGGCTCAAGGTGAGGCAACACCCGCATTGGGGCCACCAGGGTGCTCAGGCCTACCTGGGCTGATCTCAAAGAGGTGCTTCCCCGCATCCTCAGGGCCAGGAAGAAGTTGGGTCACCTGCGTCCCTTGCAGAGAAATAAATCCCTAAAGTAGAGAGACAAACACAAACACAGGTGGCATGAGATGACTAGAAAAGGACTTTTGTGGTCAGGTCTCCGGGAGAGGCAGGGTGGGGCCTTGGGGTTGGGGGCCCAGTCCTCCAGCCCTGGATGGTAAGCTTGGGTGCCGGGAGGGGTGCAGGCCTCCTCTTCAGGGCGGGCCTGAGGCTCAGCTGAGGCCTCGCACGGGGCCCCGGTGGAGTGGGCGGCAGTACCATCCCAAGTGAAGGGCTCCCCGATCCATTGTCCTCTTTCTGGGGCAGAAGTTTTGAGTTGTAGAGGGTCAGGGAGAGAAAGGTTGGCACACTGGAACTGGCTTTTCCCTGAGCTGACACGGGACAAAGCAGTCAGCAGATCTGCGTAACTCCAGCCTGCCCCCTCCTGGCCAGGCGCCGTCTTTAACTGTTTAATGGAAGTCCGCGGTCACAGGAGGCACCCGGCACACATGGTGCCGCGTGCCTGGAATGCCTGTGTGCGCACATTACTGGGGTCACACAGCCAGTAAGTAGCTGAGCCAGGATTTGATCCATCCCAGGTAGTTAGGCTATAGGGATGGAGTTGAAAATGGATTTCCCATGGAGAGAACCAAAAATGTGTAGTCAAAGCCACGCAGTGTGAGTTGGGCAAATCTGAGCGTGAATGAAAGGGAGAAAGGCCTCACCAGAGATGGGTCAGTCACTAACACGGAGAAGGGGGCACACGAGGCCGACTCCACTCTCTAGTCCTGACACCTGGTGGCAAGACTGAAAGGCGCAGGGAAAGAGCAGGGTTGTAGGGATGGACAGGCTGGGTTTGAGCCCCAACCCTGCACTTCCTGGCTGCACTTCTCTGAACCTCGGTTTCCACATCTCTACAATGGAACAGTAACTCCCACTTCTCAGGGCTGTTGAGACTTGGGATTCCTGTTCGGGAAGTCCTGCTCTAGACGAGGTGCTGTCATAACCACCTGGACTTCCCCTGTCCCCACTCACCAGGCTAGGCCTCCTGTGCCCCCTTCTCTATGGTAGTGGCTGATCTCCATTGAGGATTTTCTTCATTTCATTCATGCTCAGAATTGCCCAACTCAGACTTTGATTGGCTTTAAAAAATTTTTATTTATTGAATTTATTGGGGTGACATTGGTTAATAAAATTATATAAGTTTCAGGTGTACAATTCTGTAACACATCATCTGCATATTGTATTGTGTGTTCACAACCCCATGTGTGGCTTTGACTACACATTTTTGGTTCTCTCCATGGGAGACCCATTTTATTTTGTTTTATTTTATTTTGTTTTTTCAAAATAAGCCAGCTAAGTTTTTTGTTTGTTTGTTTGTTTATATATATATATGTACATCTTATTAAGAGAGGTAGGGAGAGGGAGAGAGAGATGGAAACATCAATGATAAGAGAGAATCATTGATTGGCTGCCTCCTGCATGCCCCCTACTGGGCATTGAGCCTGCAACCCGGGCATGCACCCTGACCCGGAATCAAACTGGCCTTCTGGTTCATGGGTTGACGCTCAATCACTGAGCCACACTGGTGGGGAGGGAAACCCCTTTTAAACTCCATCCACACAATCTAAGTGCCCAGGTTCAAATCCTGACTCAGCTATTTAGTGGGTGTGTGATCCCAGGAAAACTGCTTAACTTCTCTGTGCAACCTCTCAATTTCCCTATTTGTGAAATAAGGAATAAAAATAGTACTATGTGGACTCTTCTGAGCATTAAATGAATTAGTACCTGGGAAGTCCTTAGAGCAGTGCCTGGCTCATAGAGAAAGCTGTGTGTTTGCTAAATAACCCCAGCTATTATCCTGTGTCAAGGCTCCTAGCAGGGTGGGAGAACAGCCTCCCTGGGTCTGCACTTGCCCAGGCAAGGGGCGTGGTCATCTGCTTTATCCACGTGGCCTCTGGCCCCCCATACTATGCATGCTCACAGAACACTCCCCTCCCCACCCTCAACTTTTCCGGGCTATTCCTGGCTTTAACAGGGTGACTGAAGCCTCCACGTGGCTGCTGGAGCCTTGTGCCTCAAGACACAAGGAAATTCCTTTTCTCATGTAAACACCACAAAGGCAAAGTGAGGTCTTTACCCACAGATGCTTGCTTTAGAGAAATTCAGCGATAAGCCAGAGAACCAGTTGGTTAACCGCTACCTTTTTTCTAGGGAACCTGGAGCCACTGGGGAAAAATCAGGACTACAGCCCCAGGATTGGGAACCGTGCTCATAGAGGGTGTGGGCGAGATCCAGCACTGGCTAGTGGGATGGGCCTCGGGTGTTTGCTGTTCAGTGTCTCTGGATAATTGTGGGCATGTTGCTTTTTTCTCTCTGTGCCTCAATATCTGTCATCCATTAAAGGGGAGTGACAACATTGACATTGACATTACTTTCTACTACAGCTAAATGAAAAAGCAGAATAGCTACTGTTTGTGGAGCTTGTACTGTATTCCTGGCTCTTTGTCTAAATTATTGGATTTCATCTTTTGGAGGCCCCCGGATGAGCAGAAGAATGTGGGAAAGCTGAAACAGCCCGCCCCATGTCTCCCTGCTAGCAAGGGGCTGGGATGTGCACCCAGCGGGTCTGATGCTGGAGCACTTGGCTCCTCACATTTGTGACAGCTTTGTGTGCAAGAGGTGCCATGGCGAGCCAGGCTCACCTCTCCCAGGCGAACCCCACTACAGTCCTCAGCACTGCAGAGGGCCCTCTGAACTGGCTTTCAGGGCCACCCAGATCCCTCCTACCTCTCAGGGGTTAAGGGCATGGCTTTGATCCCAGCATTCTGCTTGGGCACAGAGGGTGAAGGTTGGGGATGGCAGGAGGAGAGAGCATCTGCTTTCTTGTTCTGGTATGACATTTGTTAAGACTATGATGAAACGACCTGTAAGGAGTTAGTATGAAGCATCCAGTTGGGACACTCGGGGTAGATTTCTACCTTGAGTGGGCATCAGAATCACCCCAGGGCTTGAAACACAGAGCACTGAGTCTGGTGGTTGGTGGCAAAGGACCAACAGGCCCTCCAAAAGCAATAAGGCTCCTGATTTGCAGTGCTTGCCAGCTCCTGTGATATAAATACATGCCCCCCCCCCCATGACTGAGTCCATGACATAATTGAACACAGTGCTTCTACCACACAGATCAGTAACCTCAAGAGCACAGGGAATGAAGCTAAACAATTAGGGAGGGATACATTTTGAGTATTTAAATCTTTGTTGTGTTGTTTTATTTTTATTGATTTTTGAGAGAGAGGAAGGGAGAAGGAGAGAGAAAGAGAAACATCAATGTCAGAGCGAAACATGGATCTGCTGCTTCCTGCATGCCCCACACAGGGAATCCAGTCCCAAACCCGAGCATGTCCCCCAACTGGTACTGGAGCCAGCAACCTAACCTTTTGGTGCATGGGACAATGCCCAACCAACTGAGCCACACCAGCCAGGGCTAAACCTTTGTTTTTGATATAATTTATTTAATTATAGGTTCATATGATTTAATTTCTAATAACAGGAGTGTTTAACAACTGGCTGGCAAGCACAGCACTGATACACACACCCTGGGGTTTCTGATTCTGCAGGTCTAGGGAAAGTAGGAGAATTTGCATTTCTATCTAGTTTTTGATGCTGCTGGCTCTAGGGAACACACTTTGAGAACTCTTGGTGTAGGTGCACTTAGAGAAAGTAGCCAAAGGAAGGTGCCTTTTCCATGAGCCTACTCAGCACCCGCTTACTCAGCACGCACTTCCTCATGTGTAAAAGGTGGCTAATAGCAGTATTTACATCATGAGGCTGTGGTGAAGACTGAATGATTTGATACTTGCCCACTGGCCTTGGACAGCTGGGTCTGAGCTTCTGTGCACTGGATGCACGCAGGTCACAGGGACAAGGACTGCTTGCCTTGAGCCCCTCAGACAGTGTCCTAGACTAGAAGGATCCGGGATTTCCATGAGGAGCCCAAAGCGAGTGTTAGCACTTTAGAGAGGCCAGGTGACCCCCTTACTGCAGTGCTTGGCAAGGGACAGGGCATACTATTTGTGCACAGAACTTCACAGATGGGCACCTGGGTACGGTGAGAGAGTGTGCAGACTCTAGGAATATAGCTGGTCCCTACAAAGGCGAGTCCCCTCCCTTTACCCTATGTGTCTGACTGAGCTCATGTGCATTTGCTCTGTTTAGCTACTTACTCAGGTTGCATATCCAAGTTCGTCCTGACAGGCTACAGCTGACTTAATTCATCTCTAGTTCCACATTAATGCAGTCCATTGGTGCAAGCGACTGATGGACAAAGGATGTGCCCTTCTGTTTGTATCCAGCAGGGCTCCACTCCCAGGCCTGCTGCTGTCTGATCATAGCTTCCTGCTTTCCAGCCTTCACGAATGTGCCAACCTAAGGGGTCCATGGACAGCAAGTGGAGCCCTGGCCACAAGCTCCAGAAACCTGTTTGTTCAGAGAGAACAACTTCTGGGAAATGGGTAAGGCTGCCCAGCAGAGGGGCCTTTGGGAGATGGTATATCTCTTATATTAGTGTCAAATGAGAAGGTTTAGTCAAAATCTATCATTTCTATAGCATATTAAATGAAAACTCCAGGAACACTATAGGCAGAGGGGAAGCAGCCTTGTGATTAGCCTTGCTCCCTCTCATTTGACTAAACTCAGCAGTGGGGAACCCAGGCTGTGGTGGAACCCTCAAGGGCTGGTGAAGATAGTCAGAAACTAGAAAGCCTCCTAGGTCAGATTCTGTAAGTACTAGTTATCTATTGCTATATTATAAGTTACCCCAAAACTCAGTAGCTTGAAACAGCAATAAGCACTTATTCTCCTATAGGGTTTCTGTAGAAATTTTGGAATGGCTTAGCTAAGTGGTTCTAGCATAGGGTCTTTTATGAAGTGCCAGTCAAGATGTTGGGTGGGGCTACAGATATCTGACAGCTTGTGTGAGGACAGGGGGACTCCTTCAACAGAAGATATAAAAAAAAGACTCAAGTCAAATGCCTAGGGATGAAACTTACAA